TTGCTGCCGTGTTGTGGTCCTTTGGTGCTTCCTCCTCCTTATTCTCTCTCCCTCTCTCCTCTTCTCTCCCCACCTCCCTCTTTCTGTTCCCTTCTCCTGTCCTTCCCTTCTCTTCCTACCACCCTCTTCTTCTCCCTACCACCTCTTCTTACTCCCTTCATCCTTCCTTCCTTTCCTTTCTTTCCCCCTTTTCCTACAAAATAAATATACCGTCCCCATAGCGATAAGGCTATGTCGAAATTTCCTAGTTTTGGAAAAAACCCATTATATTCGCTTGTATTTGCTCTTCCCCTATTAATGAATAACTGCTCTCGCCACCGGCGCTTACTTCGGAGTTCTGTATGGGATCCGGCGTAGTAGCCGAGGTATGATCGTACCACGTCAACCTCGCGCCCGACCGCTACACACCCCTTGCCCGGGTCCCCCCCTTCATAGTCCACACCCCTGCCCCCTCATGCCATCCGCTCCCCCCGCCCCTACCCTCCGCGTGCCCGCTCCCTTGCCGCCTCTTTTGACCCTCCCTGCCCCCCCTCGCCGTTTCCCACCGCCCGCCATTCGCTCCTCCCCGCCCGTGCGCTCCCCTCCTTTACCTTCTCCTCCCCCCTCCCCTCCTCTGCTGCACGCCTCTTCCTTCCCCTCGCCGACCCACTCCACTCCCTGCCCCTCCTCAATCCGCACCCTGCCCCTCGTATCTCGCCCCCCTATGCTTGGTTTCTCCCCTCCCTAGCCCCTCGCCGCCTTTCCCCGCTCCCCACCTCCCCCCTCTCCCTGCCCCCCCCCCACTCTCCCCCCCCTTGTCCTTGGCTTCCTACCTCCCTGCCTCACCTTTCCCCCCTCCGTGTGCTCAGCTTCTCCCCTCCCTGCCCCTCCCTCCTCCCCGCCCTGCCCCTCATTTTCCGCCCCCCCCCCCACGCCCGGTTTCTCCCCTCCCCCGCGCCTCCCTTTCTTTCTCCGTGCCTCTCCTTTGCTCCCTCCCTGCCCCCGCCTGCCCATGCCCCTGTCCTTGGCTTCTCCCCTCCCTGCCCCACGTTTCTTCCCTCCCTGCCCCCCGTCTGCCCCTCCCTTGTTCTCCCCTCACCCATTGCTTCTCTCCTCCCTGCCCTTGATTTCCCACACCCCTGCCCTCGTTTCCTATCATCCATGCCCCTCGTTTCCCCCCTTTGTACGTTCAGCCTCTTCCCTCCCTGCCCCTCCTTCCTCCCCCCCTGCCCTTTGCTCTCCCCTCGTTACGCTCCCTTCTCCCCATCCCTGCTGCCCTCTTACCACCATCAGCCCATCCCCACGACCAGCCCCCCTCCCACCCTTCAATCCCCCCCTCCCTCCTCTCTCTCTCTCTCTCTCTCTCTTTCTCTCACACACACACACACACGCACACTCCCCTCCCCCACCCCCCCCACCTACATCCTCCCATTCTGCCCCTCCCTGCCCCTTTCCCACCCCCTCGCACGCCCCTCACCTCCCACCTCCGTGCAACTGGTTTCCCCCCTATGGTGCCACCCTTGCATCGCTCGCCCCTCTGCTCACCCTCTGCCCGCCCCTTTTCCGTGCCCTCAGTTGGCCCAGCCCCTGCCCGTTGCTGCCCCTCCCCTTGCCCCCTCAACTCCCCTGCCCCCCGTACACCCCAAGTCCCATCCAACCGCCCCCACCCTCCCCCGGCTGCCCGTTTCCGCTCTCCACCCCCGCGACCGTGTGCGGCTTCCAACCGCCCAACGGTGGTGCGCACGGGGCGTTTCTTCGCACGGGCAAGCCTCCCCGGGGGCCCCCCCACCCCGCTGGGTCGTTGTTTGGGCAAAAAAAACGAAAATGAAAGAATCGGACGCGCTAAAATCGTCCTTTCTTTTTCCCGCTTGCCCCTCCCCCGGCACGTGCCGAGCAAGGGGCATAAATGGGTACAACACGAGGACTTCCCGGGAGGTCACCCAGCCCAGTACTGCTCTCGCCCACCGATAGTGGCTGTGCTTGAAACGCTGTGCCCGTGCGGTCGTGCGGGTTGCTGCCGTGTTGTGGTCCTTTGGTGCTTCCTCCTCCTTAGTCTCTCTCCCTCTCTCCTCTTCTCTTCCCACCTCCCTCTTTCTGTTCCCTTCTTCTATCCTTCCCTTCTCTTCCTACCACCCTCTTCTTTTCCCTACCACTTCTTCTTACTCTTTCATCCTTCCTTCCCTTCCTTTCTTTCCCCCTTGTCCTACAAACTATATATACCGTCCTCATAGCGATAAGGCTATGTCGAAATTTCCTAGTCTTGGAAAAACCATTATATTCGGCTTGTATTTGCTCTTCCCCTATTAATGAATAACTGCTCTCGCCCACCGGCGCTTAGCTTCGGAGTTCTGATGGGATCCGGCGTAGTAGCCGAGGTATGATCGTACCACGTCAACCTCGCGCCCCGACCGCTACACACCCCTTGCCCGGGTCCCCCCCTTCATAGTCACACCCCCTGCCCCCTCATGCCATCCGCTCCCCCCGCCCCTACCCTCCGCGTGCCCGCTCCCTTGCCGCCTCTTTTGACCCTCCCTGCCCCCCCTCGCCGTTTCCCACCGCCCGCCATTCGCTCCTCCCCGCCCGTGCGCTCCCCTCCTTTACCTTCTCCTCCCCCCTCCCCTCCTCTGCTGCACGCCTCTTCCTTCCCCTCGCCGACCCACTCCACTCCCTGCCCCTCCTCAATCCGCACCCTGCCCCTCGTATCTCGCCCCCCTATGCTTGGTTTCTCCCCTCCCTGCCCCTCGCCGCCTTTCCCCGCTCCCCACCTCCCCCCTCTCCCTGCCCCCCCACTCTCCCCCCCCCTTGTCCTTGGCTTCCTACCTCCCTGCCTCACCTTTCCCCCCTCCGTGTGCTCAGCTTCTCCCCTCCCTGCCCCTCCCTCCTCCCCGCCCTGCCCCTCATTTTCCGCCCCCCCCCACGCCCGGTTTCTCCCCTCCCCGCGCCTCCCTTTCTTTCTCCGTGCCTCTCCTTTGCTCCCTCCCTGCCCCCGCCTGCCCATGCCCCTGTCCTTGGCTTCTCCCCTCCCTGCCCCACGTTTCTTCCCTCCCTGCCCCCCGTCTGCCCCTCCCTTGTTCTCCCCTCACCCATTGCTTCTCTCCTCCCTGCCCTTGATTTCCCACACCCCTGCCCTCGTTTCCTATCATCCATGCCCCTCGTTTCCCCCCTTTGTACGTTCAGCCTCTTCCCTCCCTGCCCCTCCCTTCCTCCCCCCCTGCCCTTTGCTCTCCCCTCGTTACGCTCCCTTCTCCCCATCCCTGCTGCCCTCTTACCACCATCAGCCCATCCCCACGACCAGCCCCCCTCCCACCCTTCAATCCCCCCCTCCCTCCCTCTCTCTCTCTCTCTCTCTTTCTCTCACACACACACACACGCACACTCCCCTCCCCCACCCCCCCCCACCTACATCCTCCCATTCTGCCCCTCCCTGCCCCTTTCCCACCCCCTCGCACGCCCCTCACCTCCCACCTCCGTGCAACTGGTTTCCCCCCTATGGTGCCACCCTTGCATCGCTCGCCCCTCTGCTCACCCTCTGCCCGCCCCTTTTCCGTGCCCTCAGTTGGCCCAGCCCCTGCCCGTTGCTGCCCCTCCCCTTGCCCCCTCAACTCCCCTGCCCCCCGTACACCCCAAGTCCCATCCAACCGCCCCCACCCTCCCCCGGCTGCCCGTTTCCGCTCTCCACCCCCGCGACCGTGTGCGGCTTCCAACCGCCCAACGGTGGTGCGCACGGGGCGTTTCTTCGCACGGGCAAGCCTCCCCGGGGGCCCACCACCCCGCTGGGTCGTTGTTTGGGCAAAAAAAACGAAAATGAAAGAATCGGACGCTGCTAAAAATCGTCCTTTCTTTTCCCGCTTGCCCCTCCCCCGGCACGTGCCGAGCAAGGGGCATAAATGGGTACAACACGAGGACTTCCCGGGAGGTCACCCAGCCCAGTACTGCTCTCGCCCACCGGCGCTTAGCTTCGGAGTTCTGATGGGATCCGGCGTAGTAGCCGAGGTAATGATCGTACCACGTCAACCTCGCGCCCCGACCGCTACACACCCCTTGCCCGGGTCCCCCCCTTCATAGTCACACCCCCTGCCCCCTCATGCCATCCGCTCCCCCCGCCCCTACCCTCCGCGTGCCCGCTCCCTTGCCGCCTCTTTTGACCCTCCCTGCCCCCCCTCGCCGTTTCCCACCGCCCGCCATTCGCTCCTCCCCGCCCGTGCGCTCCCCTCCTTTACCTTCTCCTCCCCCCTCCCCTCCTCTGCTGCACGCCTCTTCCTTCCCCTCGCCGACCCACTCCACTCCCTGCCCCTCCTCAATCCGCACCCTGCCCCTCGTATCTCGCCCCCCTATGCTTGGTTTCTCCCCTCCCTGCCCCTCGCCGCCTTTCCCCGCTCCCCACCTCCCCCCTCTCCCTGCCCCCCCCCACTCTCCCCCCCCTTGTCCTTGGCTTCCTACCTCCCTGCCTCACCTTTCCCCCCTCCGTGTGCTCAGCTTCTCCCCTCCCTGCCCCTCCCTCCTCCCCGCCCTGCCCCTCATTTTCCGCCCCCCCCCCACGCCCGGTTTCTCCCCTCCCCGCGCCTCCCTTTCTTTCTCCGTGCCTCTCCTTTGCTCCCTCCCTGCCCCCGCCTGCCCATGCCCCTGTCCTTGGCTTCTCCCCTCCCTGCCCCACGTTTCTTCCCTCCCTGCCCCCCGTCTGCCCCTCCCTTGTTCTCCCCTCACCCATTGCTTCTCTCCTCCCTGCCCTTGATTTCCCACACCCCTGCCCTCGTTTCCTATCATCCATGCCCCTCGTTTCCCCCCTTTGTACGTTCAGCCTCTTCCCTCCCTGCCCCTCCCTTCCTCCCCCCCTGCCCTTTGCTCTCCCCTCGTTACGCTCCCTTCTCCCCATCCCTGCTGCCCTCTTACCACCATCAGCCCATCCCCACGACCAGCCCCCCTCCCACCCTTCAATCCCCCCCTCCCTCCCTCTCTCTCTCTCTCTCTCTTTCTCTCACACACACACACACGCACACTCCCCTCCCCCACCCCCCCCCACCTACATCCTCCCATTCTGCCCCTCCCTGCCCCTTTCCCACCCCCTCGCACGCCCCTCACCTCCCACCTCCGTGCAACTGGTTTCCCCCCTATGGTGCCACCCTTGCATCGCTCGCCCCTCTGCTCACCCTCTGCCCGCCCCTTTTCCGTGCCCTCAGTTGGCCCAGCCCCTGCCCGTTGCTGCCCTCCCCTTGCCCCCTCAACTCCCCTGCCCCCCGTACACCCCAAGTCCCATCCAACCGCCCCCACCCTCCCCCGGCTGCCCGTTTCCGCTCTCCACCCCCGCGACCGTGTGCGGCTTCCAACCGCCCAACGGTGGTGCGCACGGGGCGTTTCTTCGCACGGGCAAGCCTCCCCGGGGGCCCCCCACCCCGCTGGGTCGTTGTTTGGGCAAAAAAAACGAAAATGAAAGAATCGGACGCGCTAAAATCGTCCTTTCTTTTTCCCGCTTGCCCCTCCCCCGGCACGTGCCGAGCAAGGGGCATAAATGGGTACAACACGAGGACTTCCCGGGAGGTCACCCAGCCCAGTACTGCTCTCGCCCACCGATAGTGGCTGTGCTTGAAACGCTGTGCCCGTGCGGTCGTGCGGGTTGCTGCCGTGTTGTGGTCCTTTGGTGCTTCCTCCTCCTTAGTCTCTCTCCCTCTCTCCTCTTCTCTTCCCACCTCCCTCTTTCTGTTCCCTTCTTCTATCCTTCCCTTCTCTTCCTACCACCCTCTTCTTTTCCCTACCACTTCTTCTTACTCTTTCATCCTTCCTTCCCTTCCTTTCTTTCCCCCTTGTCCTACAAACTATATATACCGTCCTCATAGCGATAAGGCTATGTCGAAATTTCCTAGTCTTGGAAAAACCATTATATTCGGCTTGTATTTGCTCTTCCCCTATTAATGAATAACTGCTCTCGCCCACCGGCGCTTAGCTTCGGAGTTCTGATGGGATCCGGCGTAGTAGCCGAGGTATGATCGTACCACGTCAACCTCGCGCCCCGACCGCTACACACCCCTTGCCCGGGTCCCCCCCTTCATAGTCACACCCCCTGCCCCCTCATGCCATCCGCTCCCCCCGCCCCTACCCTCCGCGTGCCCGCTCCCTTGCCGCCTCTTTTGACCCTCCCTGCCCCCCCTCGCCGTTTCCCACCGCCCGCCATTCGCTCCTCCCCGCCCGTGCGCTCCCCTCCTTTACCTTCTCCTCCCCCCTCCCCTCCTCTGCTGCACGCCTCTTCCTTCCCCTCGCCGACCCACTCCACTCCCTGCCCCTCCTCAATCCGCACCCTGCCCCTCGTATCTCGCCCCCCTATGCTTGGTTTCTCCCCTCCCTGCCCCTCGCCGCCTTTCCCCGCTCCCCACCTCCCCCCTCTCCCTGCCCCCCCCCACTCTCCCCCCCCTTGTCCTTGGCTTCCTACCTCCCTGCCTCACCTTTCCCCCCTCCGTGTGCTCAGCTTCTCCCCTCCCTGCCCCTCCCTCCTCCCCGCCCTGCCCCTCATTTTCCGCCCCCCCCCACGCCCGGTTTCTCCCCTCCCCGCGCCTCCCTTTCTTTCTCCGTGCCTCTCCTTTGCTCCCTCCCTGCCCCCGCCTGCCCATGCCCCTGTCCTTGGCTTCTCCCCTCCCTGCCCCACGTTTCTTCCCTCCCTGCCCCCCGTCTGCCCCTCCCTTGTTCTCCCCTCACCCATTGCTTCTCTCCTCCCTGCCCTTGATTTCCCACACCCCTGCCCTCGTTTCCTATCATCCATGCCCCTCGTTTCCCCCCTTTGTACGTTCAGCCTCTTCCCTCCCTGCCCCTCCCTTCCTCCCCCCCTGCCCTTTGCTCTCCCCTCGTTACGCTCCCTTCTCCCCATCCCTGCTGCCCTCTTACCACCATCAGCCCATCCCCACGACCAGCCCCCCTCCCACCCTTCAATCCCCCCCTCCCTCCCTCTCTCTCTCTCTCTCTCTCTTTCTCTCACACACACACACACGCACACTCCCCTCCCCCACCCCCCCCACCTACATCCTCCCATTCTGCCCCTCCCTGCCCCTTTCCCACCCCCTCGCACGCCCCTCACCTCCCACCTCCGTGCAACTGGTTTCCCCCCTATGGTGCCACCCTTGCATCGCTCGCCCCTCTGCTCACCCTCTGCCCGCCCCTTTTCCGTGCCCTCAGTTGGCCCAGCCCCTGCCCGTTGCTGCCCCTCCCCTTGCCCCCTCAACTCCCCTGCCCCCCGTACACCCCAAGTCCCATCCAACCGCCCCCACCCTCCCCCGGCTGCCCGTTTCCGCTCTCCACCCCCGCGACCGTGTGCGGCTTCCAACCGCCCAACGGTGGTGCGCACGGGGCGTTTCTTCGCACGGGCAAGCCTCCCCGGGGGCCCCCCACCCCGCTGGGTCGTTGTTTGGGCAAAAAAAACGAAAATGAAAGAATCGGACGCGCTAAAATCGTCCTTTCTTTTTCCCGCTTGCCCCTCCCCCGGCACGTGCCGAGCAAGGGGCATAAATGGGTACAACACGAGGACTTCCCGGGAGGTCACCCAGCCCAGTACTGCTCTCGCCCACCGATAGTGGCTGTGCTTGAAACGCTGTGCCCGTGCGGTCGTGCGGGTTGCTGCCGTGTTGTGGTCCTTTGGTGCTTCCTCCTCCTTAGTCTCTCTCCCTCTCTCCTCTTCTCTTCCCACCTCCCTCTTTCTGTTCCCTTCTTCTATCCTTCCCTTCTCTTCCTACCACCCTCTTCTTTTCCCTACCACTTCTTCTTACTCTTTCATCCTTCCTTCCCTTCCTTTCTTTCCCCCTTGTCCTACAAACTATATATACCGTCCTCATAGCGATAAGGCTATGTCGAAATTTCCTAGTCTTGGAAAAACCATTATATTCGGCTTGTATTTGCTCTTCCCCTATTAATGAATAACTGCTCTCGCCCACCGGCGCTTAGCTTCGGAGTTCTGATGGGATCCGGCGTAGTAGCCGAGGTATGATCGTACCACGTCAACCTCGCGCCCCGACCGCTACACACCCCTTGCCCGGGTCCCCCCCTTCATAGTCACACCCCCTGCCCCCTCATGCCATCCGCTCCCCCCGCCCCTACCCTCCGCGTGCCCGCTCCCTTGCCGCCTCTTTTGACCCTCCCTGCCCCCCCTCGCCGTTTCCCACCGCCCGCCATTCGCTCCTCCCCGCCCGTGCGCTCCCCTCCTTTACCTTCTCCTCCCCCCTCCCCTCCTCTGCTGCACGCCTCTTCCTTCCCCTCGCCGACCCACTCCACTCCCTGCCCCTCCTCAATCCGCACCCTGCCCCTCGTATCTCGCCCCCCTATGCTTGGTTTCTCCCCTCCCTGCCCCTCGCCGCCTTTCCCCGCTCCCCACCTCCCCCCTCTCCCTGCCCCCCCCACTCTCCCCCCCTTGTCCTTGGCTTCCTACCTCCCTGCCTCACCTTTCCCCCCTCCGTGTGCTCAGCTTCTCCCCTCCCTGCCCCTCCCTCCTCCCCGCCCTGCCCCTCATTTTCCGCCCCCCCCCACGCCCGGTTTCTCCCCTCCCCGCGCCTCCCTTTCTTTCTCCGTGCCTCTCCTTTGCTCCCTCCCTGCCCCCGCCTGCCCATGCCCCTGTCCTTGGCTTCTCCCCTCCCTGCCCCACGTTTCTTCCCTCCCTGCCCCCCGTCTGCCCCTCCCTTGTTCTCCCCTCACCCATTGCTTCTCTCCTCCCTGCCCTTGATTTCCCACACCCCTGCCCTCGTTTCCTATCATCCATGCCCCTCGTTTCCCCCCTTTGTACGTTCAGCCTCTTCCCTCCCTGCCCCTCCCTTCCTCCCCCCCTGCCCTTTGCTCTCCCCTCGTTACGCTCCCTTCTCCCCATCCCTGCTGCCCTCTTACCACCATCAGCCCATCCCCACGACCAGCCCCCCTCCCACCCTTCAATCCCCCCCTCCCTCCCTCTCTCTCTCTCTCTCTCTCTTTCTCTCACACACACACACACGCACACTCCCCTCCCCCACCCCCCCCCACCTACATCCTCCCATTCTGCCCCTCCCTGCCCCTTTCCCACCCCCTCGCACGCCCCTCACCTCCCACCTCCGTGCAACTGGTTTCCCCCCTATGGTGCCACCCTTGCATCGCTCGCCCCTCTGCTCACCCTCTGCCCGCCCCTTTTCCGTGCCCTCAGTTGGCCCAGCCCCTGCCCGTTGCTGCCCCTCCCCTTGCCCCCTCAACTCCCCTGCCCCCCGTACACCCCAAGTCCCATCCAACCGCCCCCACCCTCCCCCGGCTGCCCGTTTCCGCTCTCCACCCCCGCGACCGTGTGCGGCTTCCAACCGCCCAACGGTGGTGCGCACGGGGCGTTTCTTCGCACGGGCAAGCCTCCCCGGGGGCCCCCCACCCCGCTGGGTCGTTGTTTGGGCAAAAAAAACGAAAATGAAAGAATCGGACGCGCTAAAATCGTCCTTTCTTTTTCCCGCTTGCCCCTCCCCCGGCACGTGCCGAGCAAGGGGCATAAATGGGTACAACACGAGGACTTCCCGGGAGGTCACCCAGCCCAGTACTGCTCTCGCCCACCGATAGTGGCTGTGCTTGAAACGCTGTGCCCGTGCGGTCGTGCGGGTTGCTGCCGTGTTGTGGTCCTTTGGTGCTTCCTCCTCCTTAGTCTCTCTCCCTCTCTCCTCTTCTCTTCCCACCTCCCTCTTTCTGTTCCCTTCTTCTATCCTTCCCTTCTCTTCCTACCACCCTCTTCTTTTCCCTACCACTTCTTCTTACTCTTTCATCCTTCCTTCCCTTCCTTTCTTTCCCCCTTGTCCTACAAACTATATATACCGTCCTCATAGCGATAAGGCTATGTCGAAATTTCCTAGTCTTGGAAAAACCATTATATTCGGCTTGTATTTGCTCTTCCCCTATTAATGAATAACTGCTCTCGCCCACCGGCGCTTAGCTTCGGAGTTCTGATGGGATCCGGCGTAGTAGCCGAGGTATGATCGTACCACGTCAACCTCGCGCCCCGACCGCTACACACCCCTTGCCCGGGTCCCCCCCTTCATAGTCACACCCCCTGCCCCCTCATGCCATCCGCTCCCCCCGCCCCTACCCTCCGCGTGCCCGCTCCCTTGCCGCCTCTTTTGACCCTCCCTGCCCCCCCTCGCCGTTTCCCACCGCCCGCCATTCGCTCCTCCCCGCCCGTGCGCTCCCCTCCTTTACCTTCTCCTCCCCCCTCCCCTCCTCTGCTGCACGCCTCTTCCTTCCCCTCGCCGACCCACTCCACTCCCTGCCCCTCCTCAATCCGCACCCTGCCCCTCGTATCTCGCCCCCCTATGCTTGGTTTCTCCCCTCCCTGCCCCTCGCCGCCTTTCCCCGCTCCCCACCTCCCCCCTCTCCCTGCCCCCCCCCACTCTCCCCCCCCTTGTCCTTGGCTTCCTACCTCCCTGCCTCACCTTTCCCCCCTCCGTGTGCTCAGCTTCTCCCCTCCCTGCCCCTCCCTCCTCCCCGCCCTGCCCCTCATTTTCCGCCCCCCCCCCACGCCCGGTTTCTCCCCTCCCCGCGCCTCCCTTTCTTTCTCCGTGCCTCTCCTTTGCTCCCTCCCTGCCCCCGCCTGCCCATGCCCCTGTCCTTGGCTTCTCCCCTCCCTGCCCCACGTTTCTTCCCTCCCTGCCCCCCGTCTGCCCCTCCCTTGTTCTCCCCTCACCCATTGCTTCTCTCCTCCCTGCCCTTGATTTCCCACACCCCTGCCCTCGTTTCCTATCATCCATGCCCCTCGTTTCCCCCCTTTGTACGTTCAGCCTCTTCCCTCCCTGCCCCTCCCTTCCTCCCCCCCTGCCCTTTGCTCTCCCCTCGTTACGCTCCCTTCTCCCCATCCCTGCTGCCCTCTTACCACCATCAGCCCATCCCCACGACCAGCCCCCCTCCCACCCTTCAATCCCCCCCTCCCTCCCTCTCTCTCTCTCTCTCTCTCTTTCTCTCACACACACACACACGCACACTCCCCTCCCCCACCCCCCCCACCTACATCCTCCCATTCTGCCCCTCCCTGCCCCTTTCCCACCCCCTCGCACGCCCCTCACCTCCCACCTCCGTGCAACTGGTTTCCCCCCTATGGTGCCACCCTTGCATCGCTCGCCCCTCTGCTCACCCTCTGCCCGCCCCTTTTCCGTGCCCTCAGTTGGCCCAGCCCCTGCCCGTTGCTGCCCCTCCCCTTGCCCCCTCAACTCCCCTGCCCCCCGTACACCCCAAGTCCCATCCAACCGCCCCCACCCTCCCCCGGCTGCCCGTTTCCGCTCTCCACCCCCGCGACCGTGTGCGGCTTCCAACCGCCCAACGGTGGTGCGCACGGGGCGTTTCTTCGCACGGGCAAGCCTCCCCGGGGGCCCCCCACCCCGCTGGGGTCGTTGTTTGGGCAAAAAAAAACGAAAATGAAAGAATCGGACGCGCTAAAATCGTCCTTTCTTTTTCCCGCTTGCCCCTCCCCCGGCACGTGCCGAGCAAGGGGCATAAATGGGTACAACACGAGGACTTCCCGGGAGGTCACCCAGCCCAGTACTGCTCTCGCCCACCGATAGTGGCTGTGCTTGAAACGCTGTGCCCGTGCGGTCGTGCGGGTTGCTGCCGTGTTGTGGTCCTTTGGTGCTTCCTCCTCCTTAGTCTCTCTCCCTCTCTCCTCTTCTCTTCCCACCTCCCTCTTTCTGTTCCCTTCTTCTATCCTTCCCTTCTCTTCCTACCACCCTCTTCTTTTCCCTACCACTTCTTCTTACTCTTTCATCCTTCCTTCCCTTCCTTTCTTTCCCCCTTGTCCTACAAACTATATATACCGTCCTCATAGCGATAAGGCTATGTCGAAATTTCCTAGTCTTGGAAAAACCATTATATTCGGCTTGTATTTGCTCTTCCCCTATTAATGAATAACTGCTCTCGCCCACCGGCGCTTAGCTTCGGAGTTCTGATGGGATCCGGCGTAGTAGCCGAGGTATGATCGTACCACGTCAACCTCGCGCCCCGACCGCTACACACCCCTTGCCCGGGTCCCCCCCTTCATAGTCACACCCCCTGCCCCCTCATGCCATCCGCTCCCCCCGCCCCTACCCTCCGCGTGCCCGCTCCCTTGCCGCCTCTTTTGACCCTCCCTGCCCCCCCTCGCCGTTTCCCACCGCCCGCCATTCGCTCCTCCCCGCCCGTGCGCTCCCCTCCTTTACCTTCTCCTCCCCCCTCCCCTCCTCTGCTGCACGCCTCTTCCTTCCCCTCGCCGACCCACTCCACTCCCTGCCCCTCCTCAATCCGCACCCTGCCCCTCGTATCTCGCCCCCCTATGCTTGGTTTCTCCCCTCCCTGCCCCTCGCCGCCTTTCCCCGCTCCCCACCTCCCCCCTCTCCCTGCCCCCCCCCACTCTCCCCCCCCTTGTCCTTGGCTTCCTACCTCCCTGCCTCACCTTTCCCCCCTCCGTGTGCTCAGCTTCTCCCCTCCCTGCCCCTCCCTCCTCCCCGCCCTGCCCCTCATTTTCCGCCCCCCCCCCACGCCCGGTTTCTCCCCTCCCCGCGCCTCCCTTTCTTTCTCCGTGCCTCTCCTTTGCTCCCTCCCTGCCCCCGCCTGCCCATGCCCCTGTCCTTGGCTTCTCCCCTCCCTGCCCCACGTTTCTTCCCTCCCTGCCCCCCGTCTGCCCCTCCCTTGTTCTCCCCTCACCCATTGCTTCTCTCCTCCCTGCCCTTGATTTCCCACACCCCTGCCCTCGTTTCCTATCATCCATGCCCCTCGTTTCCCCCCTTTGTACGTTCAGCCTCTTCCCTCCCTGCCCCTCCCTTCCTCCCCCCCTGCCCTTTGCTCTCCCCTCGTTACGCTCCCTTCTCCCCATCCCTGCTGCCCTCTTACCACCATCAGCCCATCCCCACGACCAGCCCCCCTCCCACCCTTCAATCCCCCCCTCCCTCCCTCTCTCTCTCTCTCTCTCTTTCTCTCACACACACACACACGCACACTCCCCTCCCCCACCCCCCCCACCTACATCCTCCCATTCTGCCCCTCCCTGCCCCTTTCCCACCCCCTCGCACGCCCCTCACCTCCCACCTCCGTGCAACTGGTTTCCCCCCTATGGTGCCACCCTTGCATCGCTCGCCCCTCTGCTCACCCTCTGCCCGCCCCTTTTCCGTGCCCTCAGTTGGCCCAGCCCCTGCCCGTTGCTGCCCCTCCCCTTGCCCCCTCAACTCCCCTGCCCCCCGTACACCCCAAGTCCCATCCAACCGCCCCCACCCTCCCCCGGCTGCCCGTTTCCGCTCTCCACCCCCGCGACCGTGTGCGGCTTCCAACCGCCCAACGGTGGTGCGCACGGGGCGTTTCTTCGCACGGGCAAGCCTCCCCGGGGGCCCCCCACCCCGCTGGGTCGTTGTTTGGGCAAAAAAAAACGAAAATGAAAGAATCGGACGCGCTAAAATCGTCCTTTCTTTTTCCCGCTTGCCCCTCCCCCGGCACGTGCCGAGCAAGGGGCATAAATGGGTACAACACGAGGACTTCCCGGGAGGTCACCCAGCCCAGTACTGCTCTCGCCCACCGATAGTGGCTGTGCTTGAAACGCTGTGCCCGTGCGGTCGTGCGGGTTGCTGCCGTGTTGTGGTCCTTTGGTGCTTCCTCCTCCTTAGTCTCTCTCCCTCTCTCCTCTTCTCTTCCCACCTCCCTCTTTCTGTTCCCTTCTTCTATCCTTCCCTTCTCTTCCTACCACCCTCTTCTTTTCCCTACCACTTCTTCTTACTCTTTCATCCTTCCTTCCCTTCCTTTCTTTCCCCCTTGTCCTACAAACTATATATACCGTCCTCATAGCGATAAGGCTATGTCGAAATTTCCTAGTCTTGGAAAAACCATTATATTCGGCTTGTATTTGCTCTTCCCCTATTAATGAATAACTGCTCTCGCCCACCGGCGCTTAGCTTCGGAGTTCTGATGGGATCCGGCGTAGTAGCCGAGGTATGATCGTACCACGTCAACCTCGCGCCCCGACCGCTACACACCCCTTGCCCGGGTCCCCCCCTTCATAGTCACACCCCCTGCCCCCTCATGCCATCCGCTCCCCCCGCCCCTACCCTCCGCGTGCCCGCTCCCTTGCCGCCTCTTTTGACCCTCCCTGCCCCCCCTCGCCGTTTCCCACCGCCCGCCATTCGCTCCTCCCCGCCCGTGCGCTCCCCTCCTTTACCTTCTCCTCCCCCCTCCCCTCCTCTGCTGCACGCCTCTTCCTTCCCCTCGCCGACCCACTCCACTCCCTGCCCCTCCTCAATCCGCACCCTGCCCCTCGTATCTCGCCCCCCTATGCTTGGTTTCTCCCCTCCCTGCCCCTCGCCGCCTTTCCCCGCTCCCCACCTCCCCCCTCTCCCTGCCCCCCCCACTCTCCCCCCCCTTGTCCTTGGCTTCCTACCTCCCTGCCTCACCTTTCCCCCCTCCGTGTGCTCAGCTTCTCCCCTCCCTGCCCCTCCCTCCTCCCCGCCCTGCCCCTCATTTTCCGCCCCCCCCCCACGCCCGGTTTCTCCCCTCCCCGCGCCTCCCTTTCTTTCTCCGTGCCTCTCCTTTGCTCCCTCCCTGCCCCCGCCTGCCCATGCCCCTGTCCTTGGCTTCTCCCCTCCCTGCCCCACGTTTCTTCCCTCCCTGCCCCCCGTCTGCCCCTCCCTTGTTCTCCCCTCACCCATTGCTTCTCTCCTCCCTGCCCTTGATTTCCCACACCCCTGCCCTCGTTTCCTATCATCCATGCCCCTCGTTTCCCCCCTTTGTACGTTCAGCCTCTTCCCTCCCTGCCCCTCCCTTCCTCCCCCCCTGCCCTTTGCTCTCCCCTCGTTACGCTCCCTTCTCCCCATCCCTGCTGCCCTCTTACCACCATCAGCCCATCCCCACGACCAGCCCCCCTCCCACCCTTCAATCCCCCCCTCCCTCCCTCTCTCTCTCTCTCTCTCTTTCTCTCACACACACACACACGCACACTCCCCTCCCCCACCCCCCCCCACCTACATCCTCCCATTCTGCCCCTCCCTGCCCCTTTCCCACCCCCTCGCACGCCCCTCACCTCCCACCTCCGTGCAACTGGTTTCCCCCCTATGGTGCCACCCTTGCATCGCTCGCCCCTCTGCTCACCCTCTGCCCGCCCCTTTTCCGTGCCCTCAGTTGGCCCAGCCCCTGCCCGTTGCTGCCCCTCCCCTTGCCCCCTCAACTCCCCTGCCCCCCGTACACCCCAAGTCCCATCCAACCGCCCCCACCCTCCCCCGGCTGCCCGTTTCCGCTCTCCACCCCCGCGACCGTGTGCGGCTTCCAACCGCCCAACGGTGGTGCGCACGGGGCGTTTCTTCGCACGGGCAAGCCTCCCCGGGGGCCCCCCACCCCGCTGGGTCGTTGTTTGGGCAAAAAAAACGAAAATGAAAGAATCGGACGCGCTAAAATCGTCCTTTCTTTTTCCCGCTTGCCCCTCCCCCGGCACGTGCCGAGCAAGGGGCATAAATGGGTACAACACGAGGACTTCCCGGGAGGTCACCCAGCCCAGTACTGCTCTCGCCCACCGATAGTGGCTGTGCTTGAAACGCTGTGCCCGTGCGGTCGTGCGGGTTGCTGCCGTGTTGTGGTCCTTTGGTGCTTCCTCCTCCTTAGTCTCTCTCCCTCTCTCCTCTTCTCTTCCCACCTCCCTCTTTCTGTTCCCTTCTTCTATCCTTCCCTTCTCTTCCTACCACCCTCTTCTTTTCCCTACCACTTCTTCTTACTCTTTCATCCTTCCTTCCCTTCCTTTCTTTCCCCCTTGTCCTACAAACTATATATACCGTCCTCATAGCGATAAGGCTATGTCGAAATTTCCTAGTCTTGGAAAAACCATTATATTCGGCTTGTATTTGCTCTTCCCCTATTAATGAATAACTGCTCTCGCCCACCGGCGCTTAGCTTCGGAGTTCTGATGGGATCCGGCGTAGTAGCCGAGGTATGATCGTACCACGTCAACCTCGCGCCCCGACCGCTACACACCCCTTGCCCGGGTCCCCCCCTTCATAGTCACACCCCCTGCCCCCTCATGCCATCCGCTCCCCCCGCCCCTACCCTCCGCGTGCCCGCTCCCTTGCCGCCTCTTTTGACCCTCCCTGCCCCCCCTCGCCGTTTCCCACCGCCCGCCATTCGCTCCTCCCCGCCCGTGCGCTCCCCTCCTTTACCTTCTCCTCCCCCCTCCCCTCCTCTGCTGCACGCCTCTTCCTTCCCCTCGCCGACCCACTCCACTCCCTGCCCCTCCTCAATCCGCACCCTGCCCCTCGTATCTCGCCCCCCTATGCTTGGTTTCTCCCCTCCCTGCCCCTCGCCGCCTTTCCCCGCTCCCCACCTCCCCCCTCTCCCTGCCCCCCCCACTCTCCCCCCCCTTGTCCTTGGCTTCCTACCTCCCTGCCTCACCTTTCCCCCCTCCGTGTGCTCAGCTTCTCCCCTCCCTGCCCCTCCCTCCTCCCCGCCCTGCCCCTCATTTTCCGCCCCCCCCCCACGCCCGGTTTCTCCCCTCCCCGCGCCTCCCTTTCTTTCTCCGTGCCTCTCCTTTGCTCCCTCCCTGCCCCCGCCTGCCCATGCCCCTGTCCTTGGCTTCTCCCCTCCCTGCCCCACGTTTCTTCCCTCCCTGCCCCCCGTCTGCCCCTCCCTTGTTCTCCCCTCACCCATTGCTTCTCTCCTCCCTGCCCTTGATTTCCCACACCCCTGCCCTCGTTTCCTATCATCCATGCCCCTCGTTTCCCCCCTTTGTACGTTCAGCCTCTTCCCTCCCTGCCCCTCCCTTCCTCCCCCCCTGCCCTTTGCTCTCCCCTCGTTACGCTCCCTTCTCCCCATCCCTGCTGCCCTCTTACCACCATCAGCCCATCCCCACGACCAGCCCCCCTCCCACCCTTCAATCCCCCCCTCCCTCCCTCTCTCTCTCTCTCTCTCTTTCTCTCACACACACACACACGCACACTCCCCTCCCCCACCCCCCCCCACCTACATCCTCCCATTCTGCCCCTCCCTGCCCCTTTCCCACCCCCTCGCACGCCCCTCACCTCCCACCTCCGTGCAACTGGTTTCCCCCCTATGGTGCCACCCTTGCATCGCTCGCCCCTCTGCTCACCCTCTGCCCGCCCCTTTTCCGTGCCCTCAGTTGGCCCAGCCCCTGCCCGTTGCTGCCCCTCCCCTTGCCCCCTCAACTCCCCTGCCCCCCGTACACCCCAAGTCCCATCCAACCGCCCCCACCCTCCCCCGGCTGCCCGTTTCCGCTCTCCACCCCCGCGACCGTGTGCGGCTTCCAACCGCCCAACGGTGGTGCGCACGGGGCGTTTCTTCGCACGGGCAAGCCTCCCCGGGGGCCCCCCACCCCGCTGGGGTCGTTGTTTGGGCAAAAAAAAACGAAAATGAAAGAATCGGACGCGCTAAAATCGTCCTTTCTTTTTCCCGCTTGCCCCTCCCCCGGCACGTGCCGAGCAAGGGGCATAAATGGGTACAACACGAGGACTTCCCGGGAGGTCACCCAGCCCAGTACTGCTCTCGCCCACCGGCGCAAACGGAGTTCTGATGGGATCCGGCGTAGTAGCCGAGGTATGATCGTACCACGTCAACCTCGCGCCCCGACCGCTACACACCCCTTGCCCGGGTCCCCCCCTTCATAGTCACACCCCCTGCCCCCTCATGCCATCCGCTCCCCCCGCCCCTACCCTCCGCGTGCCCGCTCCCTTGCCGCCTCTTTTGACCCTCCCTGCCCCCCCTCGCCGTTTCCCACCGCCCGCCATTCGCTCCTCCCCGCCCGTGCGCTCCCCTCCTTTACCTTCTCCTCCCCCCTCCCCTCCTCTGCTGCACGCCTCTTCCTTCCCCTCGCCGACCCACTCCACTCCCTGCCCCTCCTCAATCCGCACCCTGCCCCTCGTATCTCGCCCCCCTATGCTTGGTTTCTCCCCTCCCTGCCCCTCGCCGCCTTTCCCCGCTCCCCACCTCCCCCCTCTCCCTGCCCCCCCCCACTCTCCCCCCCCCTTGTCCTTGGCTTCCTACCTCCCTGCCTCACCTTTCCCCCCTCCGTGTGCTCAGCTTCTCCCCTCCCTGCCCCTCCCTCCTCCCCGCCCTGCCCCTCATTTTCCGCCCCCCCCCCACGCCCGGTTTCTCCCCTCCCCGCGCCTCCCTTTCTTTCTCCGTGCCTCTCCTTTGCTCCCTCCCTGCCCCCGCCTGCCCATGCCCCTGTCCTTGGCTTCTCCCCTCCCTGCCCCACGTTTCTTCCCTCCCTGCCCCCCGTCTGCCCCTCCCTTGTTCTCCCCTCACCCATTGCTTCTCTCCTCCCTGCCCTTGATTTCCCACACCCCTGCCCTCGTTTCCTATCATCCATGCCCCTCGTTTCCCCCCTTTGTACGTTCAGCCTCTTCCCTCCCTGCCCCTCCCTTCCTCCCCCCCTGCCCTTTGCTCTCCCCTCGTTACGCTCCCTTCTCCCCATCCCTGCTGCCCTCTTACCACCATCAGCCCATCCCCACGACCAGCCCCCCTCCCACCCTTCAATCCCCCCCTCCCTCCCTCTCTCTCTCTCTCTCTCTCTTTCTCTCACACACACACACACGCACACTCCCCTCCCCCACCCCCCCCCACCTACATCCTCCCATTCTGCCCCTCCCTGCCCCTTTCCCACCCCCTCGCACGCCCCTCACCTCCCACCTCCGTGCAACTGGTTTCCCCCCTATGGTGCCACCCTTGCATCGCTCGCCCCTCTGCTCACCCTCTGCCCGCCCCTTTTCCGTGCCCTCAGTTGGCCCAGCCCCTGCCCGTTGCTGCCCCTCCCCTTGCCCCCTCAACTCCCCTGCCCCCCGTACACCCCAAGTCCCATCCAACCGCCCCCACCCTCCCCCGGCTGCCCGTTTCCGCTCTCCACCCCCGCGACCGTGTGCGGCTTCCAACCGCCCAACGGTGGTGCGCACGGGGCGTTTCTTCGCACGGGCAAGCCTCCCCGGGGGCCCCCCACCCCGCTGGGTCGTTGTTTGGGCAAAAAAAACGAAAATGAAAGAATCGGACGCGCTAAAATCGTCCTTTCTTTTTCCCGCTTGCCCCTCCCCCGGCACGTGCCGAGCAAGGGGCATAAATGGGTACAACACGAGGACTTCCCGGGAGGTCACCCAGCCCAGTACTGCTCTCGCCCACCGGCGCTTAGCTTCGGAGTTCTGATGGGATCCGGCGTAGTAGCCGAGGTATGATCGTACCACGTCAACCTCGCGCCCCGACCGCTACACACCCCTTGCCCGGGTCCCCCCCTTCATAGTCACACCCCCTGCCCCCTCATGCCATCCGCTCCCCCCGCCCCTACCCTCCGCGTGCCCGCTCCCTTGCCGCCTCTTTTGACCCTCCCTGCCCCCCCTCGCCGTTTCCCACCGCCCGCCATTCGCTCCTCCCCGCCCGTGCGCTCCCCTCCTTTACCTTCTCCTCCCCCCTCCCCTCCTCTGCTGCACGCCTCTTCCTTCCCCTCGCCGACCCACTCCACTCCCTGCCCCTCCTCAATCCGCACCCTGCCCCTCGTATCTCGCCCCCCTATGCTTGGTTTCTCCCCTCCCTGCCCCTCGCCGCCTTTCCCCGCTCCCCACCTCCCCCCTCTCCCTGCCCCCCCCCACTCTCCCCCCCCTTGTCCTTGGCTTCCTACCTCCCTGCCTCACCTTTCCCCCCTCCGTGTGCTCAGCTTCTCCCCTCCCTGCCCCTCCCTCCTCCCCGCCCTGCCCCTCATTTTCCGCCCCCCCCCCACGCCCGGTTTCTCCCCTCCCCGCGCCTCCCTTTCTTTCTCCGTGCCTCTCCTTTGCTCCCTCCCTGCCCCCGCCTGCCCATGCCCCTGTCCTTGGCTTCTCCCCTCCCTGCCCCACGTTTCTTCCCTCCCTGCCCCCCGTCTGCCCCTCCCTTGTTCTCCCCTCACCCATTGCTTCTCTCCTCCCTGCCCTTGATTTCCCACACCCCTGCCCTCGTTTCCTATCATCCATGCCCCTCGTTTCCCCCCTTTGTACGTTCAGCCTCTTCCCTCCCTGCCCCTCCCTTCCTCCCCCCCTGCCCTTTGCTCTCCCCTCGTTACGCTCCCTTCTCCCCATCCCTGCTGCCCTCTTACCACCATCAGCCCATCCCCACGACCAGCCCCCCTCCCACCCTTCAATCCCCCCCTCCCTCCCTCTCTCTCTCTCTCTCTCTTTCTCTCACACACACACACACGCACACTCCCCTCCCCCACCCCCCCCCACCTACATCCTCCCATTCTGCCCCTCCCTGCCCCTTTCCCACCCCCTCGCACGCCCCTCACCTCCCACCTCCGTGCAACTGGTTTCCCCCCTATGGTGCCACCCTTGCATCGCTCGCCCCTCTGCTCACCCTCTGCCCGCCCCTTTTCCGTGCCCTCAGTTGGCCCAGCCCCTGCCCGTTGCTGCCCCTCCCCTTGCCCCCTCAACTCCCCTGCCCCCCGTACACCCCAAGTCCCATCCAACCGCCCCCACCCTCCCCCGGCTGCCCGTTTCCGCTCTCCACCCCCGCGACCGTGTGCGGCTTCCAACCGCCCAACGGTGGTGCGCACGGGGCGTTTCTTCGCACGGGCAAGCCTCCCCGGGGGCCCCCCACCCCGCTGGGTCGTTGTTTGGGCAAAAAAAAACGAAAATGAAAGAATCGGACGCGCTAAAATCGTCCTTTCTTTTTCCCGCTTGCCCCTCCCCCGGCACGTGCCGAGCAAGGGGCATAAATGGGTACAACACGAGGACTTCCCGGGAGGTCACCCAGCCCAGTACTGCTCTCGCCCACCGATAGTGGCTGTGCTTGAAACGCTGTGCCCGTGCGGTCGTGCGGGTTGCTGCCGTGTTGTGGTCCTTTGGTGCTTCCTCCTCCTTAGTCTCTCTCCCTCTCTCCTCTTCTCTTCCCACCTCCCTCTTTCTGTTCCCTTCTTCTATCCTTCCCTTCTCTTCCTACCACCCTCTTCTTTTCCCTACCACTTCTTCTTACTCTTTCATCCTTCCTTCCCTTCCTTTCTTTCCCCCTTGTCCTACAAACTATATATACCGTCCTCATAGCGATAAGGCTATGTCGAAATTTCCTAGTCTTGGAAAAACCATTATATTCGGCTTGTATTTGCTCTTCCCCTATTAATGAATAACTGCTCTCGCCCACCGGCGCTTAGCTTCGGAGTTCTGATGGGATCCGGCGTAGTAGCCGAGGTATGATCGTACCACGTCAACCTCGCGCCCCGACCGCTACACACCCCTTGCCCGGGTCCCCCCCTTCATAGTCACACCCCCTGCCCCCTCATGCCATCCGCTCCCCCCGCCCCTACCCTCCGCGTGCCCGCTCCCTTGCCGCCTCTTTTGACCCTCCCTGCCCCCCCTCGCCGTTTCCCACCGCCCGCCATTCGCTCCTCCCCGCCCGTGCGCTCCCCTCCTTTACCTTCTCCTCCCCCCTCCCCTCCTCTGCTGCACGCCTCTTCCTTCCCCTCGCCGACCCACTCCACTCCCTGCCCCTCCTCAATCCGCACCCTGCCCCTCGTATCTCGCCCCCCTATGCTTGGTTTCTCCCCTCCCTGCCCCTCGCCGCCTTTCCCCGCTCCCCACCTCCCCCCTCTCCCTGCCCCCCCCACTCCCCCCCCTTGTCCTTGGCTTCCTACCTCCCTGCCTCACCTTTCCCCCCTCCGTGTGCTCAGCTTCTCCCCTCCCTGCCCCTCCCTCCTCCCCGCCCTGCCCCTCATTTTCCGCCCCCCCCCACGCCCGGTTTCTCCCCTCCCCGCGCCTCCCTTTCTTTCTCCGTGCCTCTCCTTTGCTCCCTCCCTGCCCCCGCCTGCCCATGCCCCTGTCCTTGGCTTCTCCCCTCCCTGCCCCACGTTTCTTCCCTCCCTGCCCCCCGTCTGCCCCTCCCTTGTTCTCCCCTCACCCATTGCTTCTCTCCTCCCTGCCCTTGATTTCCCACACCCCTGCCCTCGTTTCCTATCATCCATGCCCCTCGTTTCCCCCCTTTGTACGTTCAGCCTCTTCCCTCCCTGCCCCTCCCTTCCTCCCCCCCTGCCCTTTGCTCTCCCCTCGTTACGCTCCCTTCTCCCCATCCCTGCTGCCCTCTTACCACCATCAGCCCATCCCCACGACCAGCCCCCCTCCCACCCTTCAATCCCCCCCTCCCTCCCTCTCTCTCTCTCTCTCTCTTTCTCTCACACACACACACACGCACACTCCCCTCCCCCACCCCCCCCACCTACATCCTCCCATTCTGCCCCTCCCTGCCCCTTTCCCACCCCCTCGCACGCCCCTCACCTCCCACCTCCGTGCAACTGGTTTCCCCCCTATGGTGCCACCCTTGCATCGCTCGCCCCTCTGCTCACCCTCTGCCCGCCCCTTTTCCGTGCCCTCAGTTGGCCCAGCCCCTGCCCGTTGCTGCCCCTCCCCTTGCCCCCTCAACTCCCCTGCCCCCCGTACACCCCAAGTCCCATCCAACCGCCCCCACCCTCCCCCGGCTGCCCGTTTCCGCTCTCCACCCCCGCGACCGTGTGCGGCTTCCAACCGCCCAACGGTGGTGCGCACGGGGCGTTTCTTCGCACGGGCAAGCCTCCCCGGGGGCCCCCCACCCCGCTGGGTCGTTGTTTGGGCAAAAAAAACGAAAATGAAAGAATCGGACGCGCTAAAATCGTCCTTTCTTTTTCCCGCTTGCCCCTCCCCCGGCACGTGCCGAGCAAGGGGCATAAATGGGTACAACACGAGGACTTCCCGGGAGGTCACCCAGCCCAGTACTGCTCTCGCCCACCGATAGTGGCTGTGCTTGAAACGCTGTGCCCGTGCGGTCGTGCGGGTTGCTGCCGTGTTGTGGTCCTTTGGTGCTTCCTCCTCCTTAGTCTCTCTCCCTCTCTCCTCTTCTCTTCCCACCTCCCTCTTTCTGTTCCCTTCTTCTATCCTTCCCTTCTCTTCCTACCACCCTCTTCTTTTCCCTACCACTTCTTCTTACTCTTTCATCCTTCCTTCCCTTCCTTTCTTTCCCCCTTGTCCTACAAACTATATATACCGTCCTCATAGCGATAAGGCTATGTCGAAATTTCCTAGTCTTGGAAAAACCATTATATTCGGCTTGTATTTGCTCTTCCCCTATTAATGAATAACTGCTCTCGCCCACCGGCGCTTAGCTTCGGAGTTCTGATGGGATCCGGCGTAGTAGCCGAGGTATGATCGTACCACGTCAACCTCGCGCCCCGACCGCTACACACCCCTTGCCCGGGTCCCCCCCTTCATAGTCACACCCCCTGCCCCCTCATGCCATCCGCTCCCCCCGCCCCTACCCTCCGCGTGCCCGCTCCCTTGCCGCCTCTTTTGACCCTCCCTGCCCCCCCTCGCCGTTTCCCACCGCCCGCCATTCGCTCCTCCCCGCCCGTGCGCTCCCCTCCTTTACCTTCTCCTCCCCCCTCCCCTCCTCTGCTGCACGCCTCTTCCTTCCCCTCGCCGACCCACTCCACTCCCTGCCCCTCCTCAATCCGCACCCTGCCCCTCGTATCTCGCCCCCCTATGCTTGGTTTCTCCCCTCCCTGCCCCTCGCCGCCTTTCCCCGCTCCCCACCTCCCCCTCTCCCTGCCCCCCCCCACTCTCCCCCCCCTTGTCCTTGGCTTCCTACCTCCCTGCCTCACCTTTCCCCCCTCCGTGTGCTCAGCTTCTCCCCTCCCTGCCCCTCCCTCCTCCCCGCCCTGCCCCTCATTTTCCGCCCCCCCCCCACGCCCGGTTTCTCCCCTCCCCGCGCCTCCCTTTCTTTCTCCGTGCCTCTCCTTTGCTCCCTCCCTGCCCCCGCCTGCCCATGCCCCTGTCCTTGGCTTCTCCCCTCCCTGCCCCACGTTTCTTCCCTCCCTGCCCCCCGTCTGCCCCTCCCTTGTTCTCCCCTCACCCATTGCTTCTCTCCTCCCTGCCCTTGATTTCCCACACCCCTGCCCTCGTTTCCTATCATCCATGCCCCTCGTTTCCCCCCTTTGTACGTTCAGCCTCTTCCCTCCCTGCCCCTCCCTTCCTCCCCCCCTGCCCTTTGCTCTCCCCTCGTTACGCTCCCTTCTCCCCATCCCTGCTGCCCTCTTACCACCATCAGCCCATCCCCACGACCAGCCCCCCTCCCACCCTTCAATCCCCCCCTCCCTCCCTCTCTCTCTCTCTCTCTCTCTCTTTCTCTCACACACACACACACGCACACTCCCCTCCCCCACCCCCCCCCACCTACATCCTCCCATTCTGCCCCTCCCTGCCCCTTTCCCACCCCCTCGCACGCCCCTCACCTCCCACCTCCGTGCAACTGGTTTCCCCCCTATGGTGCCACCCTTGCATCGCTCGCCCCTCTGCTCACCCTCTGCCCGCCCCTTTTCCGTGCCCTCAGTTGGCCCAGCCCCTGCCCGTTGCTGCCCCTCCCCTTGCCCCCTCAACTCCCCTGCCCCCCGTACACCCCAAGTCCCATCCAACCGCCCCCACCCTCCCCCGGCTGCCCGTTTCCGCTCTCCACCCCCGCGACCGTGTGCGGCTTCCAACCGCCCAACGGTGGTGCGCACGGGGCGTTTCTTCGCACGGGCAAGCCTCCCCGGGGGCCCCCCACCCCGCTGGGTCGTTGTTTGGGCAAAAAAAACGAAAATGAAAGAATCGGACGCGCTAAAATCGTCCTTTCTTTTTCCCGCTTGCCCCTCCCCCGGCACGTGCCGAGCAAGGGGCATAAATGGGTACAACACGAGGACTTCCCGGGAGGTCACCCAGCCCAGTACTGCTCTCGCCCACCGGCGCAAACGGAGTTCTGATGGGATCCGGCGTAGTAGCCGAGGTATGATCGTACCACGTCAACCTCGCGCCCCGACCGCTACACACCCCTTGCCCGGGTCCCCCCCTTCATAGTCACACCCCCTGCCCCCTCATGCCATCCGCTCCCCCCGCCCCTACCCTCCGCGTGCCCGCTCCCTTGCCGCCTCTTTTGACCCTCCCTGCCCCCCCTCGCCGTTTCCCACCGCCCGCCATTCGCTCCTCCCCGCCCGTGCGCTCCCCCTCCTTTACCTTCTCCTCCCCCCCTCCCCTCCTCTGCTGCACGCCTCTTCCTTCCCCTCGCCGACCCACTCCACTCCCTGCCCCTCCTCAATCCGCACCCTGCCCTCGTATCTCGCCCCCCTATGCTTGGTTTCTCCCCTCCCTGCCCCTCGCCGCCTTTCCCCGCTCCCCACCTCCCCCCTCTCCCTGCCCCCCCCCACTCTCCCCCCCCTTGTCCTTGGCTTCCTACCTCCCTGCCTCACCTTTCCCCCCTCCGTGTGCTCAGCTTCTCCCCTCCCTGCCCCTCCCTCCTCCCCGCCCTGCCCCTCATTTTCCGCCCCCCCCCCCACGCCCGGTTTCTCCCCTCCCCGCGCCTCCCTTTCTTTCTCCGTGCCTCTCCTTTGCTCCCTCCCTGCCCCCGCCTGCCCATGCCCCTGTCTTGGCTTCTCCCCTCCCTGCCCCACGTTTCTTCCCTCCCTGCCCCCCGTCTGCCCCTCCCTTGTTCTCCCCTCACCCATTGCTTCTCTCCTCCCTGCCCTTGATTTCCCACACCCCTGCCCTCGTTTCCTATCATCCATGCCCCTCGTTTCCCCCCTTTGTACGTTCAGCCTCTTCCCTCCCTGCCCCTCCCTTCCTCCCCCCCTGCCCTTTGCTCTCCCCTCGTTACGCTCCCTTCTCCCCATCCCTGCTGCCCTCTTACCACCATCAGCCCATCCCCACGACCAGCCCCCCCTCCCACCCTTCAATCCCCCCCTCCCTCTCTCTCTCTCTCTCTCTCTCTCTCTCTCTCTTCTCACACACACACACACGCACACTCCCCTCCCCCACCCCCCCCCACCTACATCCTCCCATTCTGCCCCTCCCTGCCCCTTTCCCACCCCCTCGCACGCCCCTCACCTCCCACCTCCGTGCAACTGGTTTCCCCCCTATGGTGCCACCCTTGCATCGCTCGCCCCTCTGCTCACCCTCTGCCCGCCCCTTTTCCGTGCCCTCAGTTGGCCCAGCCCCTGCCCGTTGCTGCCCCTCCCCTTGCCCCCTCAACTCCCCTGCCCCCCGTACACCCCAAGTCCCATCCAACCGCCCCCACCCTCCCCCGGCTGCCCGTTTCCGCTCTCCACCCCCGCGACCGTGTGCGGCTTCCAACCGCCCAACGGTGGTGCGCACGGGGCGTTTCTTCGCACGGGCAAGCCTCCCCGGGGGCCCCCCCACCCCGCTGGGTCGTTGTTTGGGCAAAAAAAACGAAAATGAAAGAATCGGACGCGCTAAAATCGTCCTTTCTTTTTCCCGCTTGCCCCTCCCCCGGCACGTGCCGAGCAAGGGGCATAAATGGGTACAACACGAGGACTTCCCGGGAGGTCACCCAGCCCAGTACTGCTCTCGCCCACCGATAGTGGCTGTGCTTGAAACGCTGTGCCCGTGCGGTCGTGCGGGTTGCTGCCGTGTTGTGGTCCTTTGGTGCTTCCTCCTCCTTAGTCTCTCTCCCTCTCTCCTCTTCTCTTCCCACCTCCCTCTTTCTGTTCCCTTCTTCTATCCTTCCCTTCTCTTCCTACCACCCTCTTCTTTTCCCTACCACTTCTTCTTACTCTTTCATCCTTCCTTCCCTTCCTTTCTTTCCCCCTTGTCCTACAAACTATATATACCGTCCTCATAGCGATAAGGCTATGTCGAAATTTCCTAGTCTTGGAAAAACCATTATATTCGGCTTGTATTTGCTCTTCCCCTATTAATGAATAACTGCTCTCGCCCACCGGCGCTTAGCTTCGGAGTTCTGATGGGATCCGGCGTAGTAGCCGAGGTATGATCGTACCACGTCAACCTCGCGCCCCGACCGCTACACACCCCTTGCCCGGGTCCCCCCCTTCATAGTCACACCCCCTGCCCCCTCATGCCATCCGCTCCCCCCGCCCCTACCCTCCGCGTGCCCGCTCCCTTGCCGCCTCTTTTGACCCTCCCTGCCCCCCCCTCGCCGTTTCCCACCGCCCGCCATTCGCTCCTCCCCGCCCGTGCGCTCCCCTCCTTTACCTTCTCCTCCCTCCTCCCCTCCTCTGCTGCACGCCTCTTCCTTCCCCTCGCCGACCCACTCCACTCCCTGCCCCTCCTCAATCCGCACCCTGCCCCTCGTATCTCGCCCCCCTATGCTTGGTTTCTCCCCTCCCTGCCCCTCGCCGCCTTTCCCCGCTCCCCACCTCCCCCCTCTCCCTGCCCCCCCCACTCTCCCCCCCTTGTCCTTGGCTTCCTACCTCCCTGCCTCACCTTTCCCCCCTCCGTGTGCTCAGCTTCTCCCCTCCCTGCCCCTCCCTCCTCCCCGCCCTGCCCCTCATTTTCCGCCCCCCCCCCCACGCCCGGTTTCTCCCCTCCCCGCGCCTCCCTTTCTTTCTCCGTGCCTCTCCTTTGCTCCCTCCCTGCCCCCGCCTGCCCATGCCCCTGTCCTTGGCTTCTCCCCTCCCTGCCCCACGTTTCTTCCCTCCCTGCCCCCCGTCTGCCCCTCCCTTGTTCTCCCCTCACCCATTGCTTCTCTCCTCCCTGCCCTTGATTTCCCACACCCCTGCCCTCGTTTCCTATCATCCATGCCCCTCGTTTCCCCCCTTTGTACGTTCAGCCTCTTCCCTCCCTGCCCCTCCCTTCCTCCCCCCCTGCCCTTTGCTCTCCCCTCGTTACGCTCCCTTCTCCCCATCCCTGCTGCCCTCTTACCACCATCAGCCCATCCCCACGACCAGCCCCCCTCCCACCCTTCAATCCCCCCCTCCCTCCCTCTCTCTCTCTCTCTCTCTCTTTCTCTCACACACACACACACGCACACTCCCCTCCCCCACCCCCCCCACCTACATCCTCCCATTCTGCCCCTCCCTGCCCCTTTCCCACCCCCTCGCACGCCCCTCACCTCCCACCTCCGTGCAACTGGTTTCCCCCCTATGGTGCCACCCTTGCATCGCTCGCCCCTCTGCTCACCCTCTGCCCGCCCCTTTTCCGTGCCCTCAGTTGGCCCAGCCCCTGCCCGTTGCTGCCCCTCCCCTTGCCCCCTCAACTCCCCTGCCCCCGTACACCCCAAGTCCCATCCAACCGCCCCCACCCCTCCCCCGGCTGCCCGTTTCCGCTCTCCACCCCCGCGACCGTGTGCGGCTTCCAACCGCCCAACGGTGGTGCGCACGGGGCGTTTCTTCGCACGGGCAAGCCTCCCCGGGGGCCCCCCACCCCGCTGGGTCGTTGTTTGGGCAAAAAAAAACGAAAATGAAAGAATCGGACGCGCTAAAATCGTCTTTCTTTTTCCCGCTTGCCCCTCCCCCGGCACGTGCCGAGCAAGGGGCCTAAATGGGTACAACACGAGGACTTTCCCGGGAGGTCACCCAGCCCAGTACTGCTCTCGCCCACCGGCGCTTAGAATCGGAGTTCTGATGGGATCCGGCGTAGTAGCCTGAGGTATGATCGTACCACGTCAACCTCGCTGCCCCGACCGCTACACACCCCTTGCCCGGGTCCCCCCCCTTCATAGTCAACACCCCCTGCCCCCTCATGCCATCCGCTCCCCCCGCCCCTACCCTCCGCGTGCCCCGCTCCCTTGCCGCCTCTTTGACCCTCCCTGCCCCCCCCCTCGCCGTTCTCCCACCGCCCGCCATTCGCTCCTCCCCGCCCTGTGCGCTCCCCTCCTTTACCTTCTCCTCCCCCTCCCCTCCTCTGCTGCACGCCTCTTCCTTCCCCTCGCCGACCCACTCCACTCCCTGCCCCTCCTCAATCCGCACCCTGCCCCTCGTATCTCGCCCCCCTATGCTTGGTTTCTCCCCTCCCTGCCCCTCGCCGCCTTTCCCCGCTCCCCACCTCCCCCCTCTCCCTGCCCCCCCCCACTCTCCCCCCCCTTGTCCTTGGCTTCCTACCTCCCTGCCTCACCTTTCCCCCCTCCGTGTGCTCAGCTTCTCCCCTCCCTGCCCCTCCCTCCTCCCCGCCCTGCCCCTCATTTTCCGCCCCCCCCCCCACGCCCGGTTTCTCCCCTCCCCGCGCCTCCCTTTCTTTCTCCGTGCCTCTCCTTTGCTCCCTCCCTGCCCCCGCCTGCCCATGCCCCTGTCCTTGGCTTCTCCCCTCCCTGCCCCACGTTTCTTCCCTCCCTGCCCCCCGTCTGCCCCTCCCTTGTTCTCCCCTCACCCATTGCTTCTCTCCTCCCTGCCCTTGATTTCCCACACCCCTGCCCTCGTTTCCTATCATCCATGCCCCTCGTTTCCCCCCTTTGTACGTTCAGCCTCTTCCCTCCCTGCCCCTCCCTTCCTCCCCCCCTGCCCTTTGCTCTCCCCTCGTTACGCTCCCTTCTCCCCATCCCTGCTGCCCTCTTACCACCATCAGCCCATCCCCACGACCAGCCCCCCTCCCACCCTTCAATCCCCCCCTCCCTCCCTCTCTCTCTCTCTCTCTCTCTTTCTCTCACACACACACACACGCACACTCCCCTCCCCCACCCCCCCCACCTACATCCTCCCATTCTGCCCCTCCCTGCCCCTTTCCCACCCCCTCGCACGCCCCTCACCTCCCACCTCCGTGCAACTGGTTTCCCCCCTATGGTGCCACCCTTGCATCGCTCGCCCCTCTGCTCACCCTCTGCCCGCCCCTTTTCCGTGCCCTCAGTTGGCCCAGCCCCTGCCCGTTGCTGCCCCTCCCCTTGCCCCCTCAACTCCCCTGCCCCCCGTACACCCCAAGTCCCATCCAACCGCCCCCACCCTCCCCCGGCTGCCCGTTTCCGCTCTCCACCCCCGCGACCGTGTGCGGCTTCCAACCGCCCAACGGTGGTGCGCACGGGCGTTTCTTCGCACGGGCAAGCCTCCCCGGGGGCCCCCCACCCCGCTGGGTCGTTGTTTGGGCAAAAAAAAACGAAAATGAAAGAATCGGACGCGCTAAAATCGTCCTTTCTTTTTCCCGCTTGCCCCTCCCCCGGCACGTGCCGAGCAAGGGGCATAAATGGGTACAACACGAGGACTTCCCGGGAGGTCACCCAGCCCAGTACTGCTCTCGCCCACCGGCGCAAACGGAGTTCTGATGGGATCCGGCGTAGTAGCCGAGGTATGATCGTACCACGTCAACCTCGCGCCCCGACCGCTACACACCCCTTGCCCGGGTCCCCCCCTTCATAGTCACACCCCCTGCCCCCTCATGCCATCCGCTCCCCCCGCCCCTACCCTCCGCGTGCCCGCTCCCTTGCCGCCTCTTTTGACCCTCCCTGCCCCCCCTCGCCGTTTCCCACCGCCCGCCATTCGCTCCTCCCCGCCCGTGCGCTCCCCTCCTTTACCTTCTCCTCCCCCCTCCCCTCCCTCTGCTGCACGCCTCTTCCTTCCCCTCGCCGACCCACTCCACTCCCTGCCCCTCCTCAATCCGCACCCTGCCCCTCGTATCTCGCCCCCCTATGCTTGGTTTCTCCCCTCCCTGCCCCTCGCCGCCTTTCCCCGCTCCCCACCTCCCCCCTCTCCCTGCCCCCCCCCACTCTCCCCCCCCTTGTCCTTGGCTTCCTACCTCCCTGCCTCACCTTTCCCCCCTCCGTGTGCTCAGCTTCTCCCCTCCCTGCCCCTCCCTCCTCCCCGCCCTGCCCCTCATTTTCCGCCCCCCCCCCACGCCCGGTTTCTCCCCTCCCCGCGCCTCCCTTTCTTTCTCCGTGCCTCTCCTTTGCTCCCTCCCTGCCCCCGCCTGCCCATGCCCCTGTCCTTGGCTTCTCCCTCCCTGCCCCACGTTTCTTCCCTCCCTGCCCCCCGTCTGCCCCTCCCTTGTTCTCCCCTCACCCATTGCTTCTCTCCTCCCTGCCCTTGATTTCCCACACCCCTGCCCTCGTTTCCTATCATCCATGCCCCTCGTTTCCCCCCTTTGTACGTTCAGCCTCTTCCCTCCCTGCCCCTCCCTTCCTCCCCCCCTGCCCTTTGCTCTCCCCTCGTTACGCTCCCTTCTCCCCATCCCTGCTGCCCTCTTACCACCATCAGCCCATCCCCACGACCAGCCCCCCTCCCACCCTTCAATCCCCCCCCTCCCTCCCTCTCTCTCTCTCTCTCTCTTTCTCTCACACACACACACACGCACACTCCCCTCCCCCACCCCCCCCCCACCTACATCCTCCCATTCTGCCCCTCCCTGCCCCTTTCCCACCCCCTCGCACGCCCCTCACCTCCCACCTCCGTGCAACTGGTTTCCCCCCTATGGTGCCACCCTTGCATCGCTCGCCCCTCTGCTCACCCTCTGCCCGCCCCTTTTCCGTGCCCTCAGTTGGCCCAGCCCCTGCCCGTTGCTGCCCCTCCCCTTGCCCCCTCAACTCCCCTGCCCCCCGTACACCCCAAGTCCCATCCAACCGCCCCCACCCTCCCCCGGCTGCCCGTTTCCGCTCTCCACCCCCGCGACCGTGTGCGGCTTCCAACCGCCCAACGGTGGTGCGCACGGGGCGTTTCTTCGCACGGGCAAGCCTCCCCGGGGGCCCCCCACCCCGCTGGGTCGTTGTTTGGGCAAAAAAAAACGAAAATGAAAGAATCGGACGCGCTAAAATCGTCCTTTCTTTTTCCCGCTTGCCCCTCCCCCGGCACGTGCCGAGCAAGGGGCATAAATGGGTACAACACGAGGACTTCCCGGGAGGTCACCCAGCACCAGTACTGCTCTCGCCCACCGATAGTGGCTGTGCTTGAAACGCTGTGCCCGTGCGGTCGTGCGGGTTGCTGCCGTGTTGTGGTCCTTTGGTGCTTCCTCCTCCTTAGTCTCTCTCCCTCTCTCCTCTTCTCTTCCCACCTCCCTCTTTCTGTTCCCTTCTTCTATCCTTCCCTTCTCTTCCTACCACCCTCTTCTTTTCCCTACCACTTCTTCTTACTCTTTCATCCTTCCTTCCCTTCCTTTCTTTCCCCCTTGTCCTACAAACTATATATACCGTCCCTCATAGCGATAAGGCTATGTCGAAATTTCCTAGTCTTGGAAAAACCATTTATATTCGGCTTGTATTTGCTCTTCCCCTATTAATGAATAACTGCTCTCGCCCACCGGCGCTTAGCTTCGGAGTTCTGATGGGATCCGGCGTAGTAGCCGAGGTATGATCGTACCACGTCAACCTCGCGCCCCGACCGCTACACACCCCTTGCCCGGGTCCCCCCCTTCATAGTCACACCCCCTGCCCCCTCATGCCATCCGCTCCCCCCGCCCCTACCCTCGCGTGCCCGCTCCCTTGCCGCCTCTTTTGACCCTCCCCTGCCCCCCCTCGCCGTTTCCCACCGCCCGCCATTCGCTCCTCCCCCGCCCGTGCGCTCCCCTCCTTTACCTTCTCCTCCCCCCTCCCCTCCTCTGCTGCACGCCTCTTCCTTCCCCTCGCCGACCCACTCCACTCCCTGCCCCTCCTCAATCCGCACCCTGCCCCTCGTATCTCGCCCCCCTATGCTTGGTTTCTCCCCTCCCTGCCCCTCGCCGCCTTTCCCCGCTCCCCACCTCCCCCCTCTCCCTGCCCCCCCCCACTCTCCCCCCCCTTGTCCTTGGCTTCCTACCTCCCTGCCTCACCTTTCCCCCCTCCGTGTGCTCAGCTTCTCCCCTCCCTGCCCCTCCCTCCTCCCCGCCCTGCCCCTCATTTTCCGCCCCCCCCCCACGCCCGGTTTCTCCCCTCCCCGCGCCTCCCTTTCTTTCTCCGTGCCTCTCCTTTGCTCCCTCCCTGCCCCCGCCTGCCCATGCCCCTGTCCTTGGCTTCTCCCCTCCCTGCCCCACGTTTCTTCCCTCCCTGCCCCCCGTCTGCCCCCTCCCTTGTTCTCCCCTCACCCATTGCTTCTCTCCTCCCTGCCCTTGATTCCCACACCCCTGCCCTCGTTTCCTATCATCCATGCCCCTCGTTTCCCCCCTTTGTACGTTCAGCCTCTTCCCTCCCTGCCCCTCCCTTCCTCCCCCCCTGCCCTTTGCTCTCCCCTCGTTACGCTCCCTTCTCCCCATCCCTGCTGCCCTCTTACCACCATCAGCCCATCCCCACGACCAGCCCCCCTCCCACCCTTCAATCCCCCCCTCCCTCCCTCTCTCTCTCTCTCTCTCTTTCTCTCACACACACACACACGCACACTCCCCTCCCCCACCCCCCCCACCTACATCCTCCCATTCTGCCCCTCCCTGCCCCTTTCCCACCCCTCGCACGCCCCTCACCTCCCACCTCCGTGCAACTGGTTTTCCCCCCTATGGTGCCACCCTTGCATCGCTCGCCCCTCTGCTCACCCTCTGCCCGCCCCTTTTCCGTGCCCTCAGTTGGCCCAGCCCCTGCCCGTTGCTGCCCCTCCCCTTGCCCCCTCAACTCCCCTGCCCCCCGTACACCCCAAGTCCCATCCAACCGCCCCCACCCTCCCCCGGCTGCCCGTTTCCGCTCTCCACCCCCGCGACCGTGTGCGGCTTCCAACCGCCCAACGGTGGTGCGCACGGGGCGTTTCTTCGCACGGGCAAGCCTCCCCGGGGGCCCCCCCACCCCGCTGGGTCGTTGTTTGGGCAAAAAAAACGAAAATGAAAGAATTCGGACGCGCTAAAATCGTCCTTTCTTTTTTCCCGCTTGCCCCTCCCCCGGCACGTGCCGAGCAAGGGGCATAAATGGGTACAACACGAGGACTTCCCGGGAGGTCACCCAGCCCAGTACTGCTCTCGCCCACCGATAGTGGCTGTGCTTGAAACGCTGTGCCCGTGCGGTCGTGCGGGTTGCTGCCGTGTTGTGGTCCTTTGGTGCTTCCTCCTCCTTAGTCTCTCTCCCTCTCTCCTCTTCTCTTCCCACCTCCCTCTTTCTGTTCCCTTCTTCTATCCTTCCCTTCTCTTCCTACCACCTCTTCTTTTCCCTACCACTTCTTCTTACTCTTTCATCCTTCCTTCCCTCCTTCTTTCCCCCTTGTCCTACAAACTATATATCCGTCCCTCATAGCGATAAGGCTATGTCGAAATTTCCTAGTCTTGGAAAAACCATTATATTCGCTTGTATTTGCTCTTCCCCTATTAATGAATAACTGCTCTCGCCCACCGGCGCTTAGCTCGGAGTTCTGATGGGATCCGGCGTAGTAGCCGAGGTATTGATCGTACCACGTCAACCCCTCGCGCCCCCGACCGCTACACACCCCTTGCCACGGGTCCCCCCCTTCATAGTCAACACCCCCTGCCCCCTCATGCCATCCGCTCCCCCCCGCCCCTACCCTCCGCGTGGCCCGCTCCCTTGCCGCCTCTTTTGACCCTCCCTGCCCCCCCTCGCCCTTTCCCACCGCCCGCCATTTCGCTCCTCCCCCGCCCGTGCGCTCCCCTCCTTTACCTTCTCCTCCCCCCTCCCCTCCTCTGCTGCACGCCTCTTCCTTCCCCTCGCCGACCCACTCCACCTCCCTGCCCCTCCTCAATCCGCACCCTGCCCCTCGTATCTCGCCCCCCTATGCTTGGTTTCTCCCCTCCCTGCCCCTCGCCGCCTTTCCCCGCTCCCCACCTCCCCCCCTCTCCCTGCCCCCCCCCACTCTCCCCCCCTTGTCCTTGGCTTCCTACCTCCCTGCCTCACCTTTCCCCCTCCGTGTGCTCAGCTTCTCCCCCTCCCTGCCCCTCCCTCCTCCCCGCCCTGCCCCTCATTTTCCGCCCCCCCCCACGCCCGGTTTCTCCCCTCCCCGCGACTCCCTTTCTTTCTCCGTGCCCTCTCCTTTGCTCCCTCCCTGCCCCCGCCTGCCCATGCCCTGTCCTTGGCCTTCTCCCCTCCCTGCCCCACGTTTCTTCCCTCCCTGCCCCCCGTCTGCCCCTCCCTTGTTCTCCCCTCACCCATTGCTTCTCTCCTCCCTGCCCTTGATTTCCCACACCCCTGCCCTCGTTTCCTATCATCCATGCCCCTCGTTTCCCCCCTTTTGTACGTTCAGCCTCTTCCCTCCCTGCCCCTCCCTTCCTCCCCCCCTGCCCTTTGCTCTCCCCTCGTTACGCTCCCTTCTCCCCATCCCTGCTGCCCTCTTACCACCATCAGCCCATCCCCACGACCAGCCCCCCTCCCACCCTTCAATCCCCCCCTCCCTCCCTCTCCTCTCTCTCTCTCTCTTTCTCTCACACACACACACACGCACACTCCCCTCCCCCACCCCCCCCACCTACATCCTCCCATTCTGCCCCTCCCTGCCCCTTTCCCACCCCCTCGCACGCCCCTCACCTCCCACCTCCGTGCAACTGGTTTCCCCCCTATGGTGCCACCCTTGCATCGCTCGCCCCTCTGCTCACCCTCTGCCCGCCCCTTTTCCGTGCCCTCAGTTGGCCCAGCCCCCTCCCGTTGCTGCCCCTCCCCTTGCCCCCTCAACTCCCCTGCCCCCCGTACACCCCAAGTCCCATCCAACCGCCCCCACCCTCCCCCGGCTGCCCGTTTCCGCTCTCCACCCCCGCGACCGTGTGCGGCTTCCAACCGCCCAACGGTGGTGCGCACGGGGCGTTTCTTCGCACGGGCAAGCCTCCCCGGGGGCCCCCCACCCCCGCTGGGGTCGTTGTTTGGGCAAAAAAAACGAAAATGAAAGAATCGGACGCGCTAAAATCGTCCTTTCTTTTTCCCCGCTTGCCCCTCCCCCGGCACGTGCCGAGCAAGGGGCATAAATGGGTACAACACGAGGACTTCCCGGGAGGTCACCCAGCCCAGTACTGCTCTCGCCCACCGGCTCTTAGCTTGACCTAGCTTACCTAGCCATGGCTGCCTACTAAGGACCTCCTAAACCTACTATTTCGAGTTGCTTA